ATGCACTCTGACGGATTTTTGTCAATAGATTTCGACGGAAATTCATTGACGGGTCATTTGGCGCGATGGAGGAGAATCACCCCTTTCCCCTTCCAGGCCGATGCAGTCTCTTCGTTCGAATTGCTCCAGTGTCCAGGGTGACGATTCGAATCGACCCCGCGAGCAACTGAAAGATCACTAGCCTGTCGTTCTTTTATTCGCGGTCTCTCGACCACGGGCGCGAATCGGGTCGATCCGCATCTTTATTCTGTCGGTCGAAATGTATTCGCTGACATGTACAGGGTGATTAGTAAGACAGGTTACATAGCGAATGTCTTTATTCTGGGTGCTTCCGGTTGAACTCCTCGGCGATATGTCTGTAACTGCCATTAGCCGCCAACAACACATCCTCGATACGTTCTTCAATCGACGAAGACATCACTGCGAGCATTCACACACCTGCAACGATAATAAGGATTACCCCTATGTAACCTGACTCATGAATCACCCTGTACAGCATGACGTCAATAGATGCGATTAGACGCATCCATCTTCTATTTTTAAAATATAAGGGTCGATTGCACGAACGGTGTTCCCTTTCGACGTCGATGATCGATTGTCATCCTTTAAACCAGGGGTGTGCAACCTTCATCCGCAGTGGGCCGCACGGAAACGTGAGACTCTTGACGCGAGCCACAGAATGCAAAAGAAAAGGCTTTTTTGTCCTCTTTTGTCCTCAGGGCATATGAGGGCATGAGGTCACGCCGATCGGCCGATGATCCGAACCTCCTCGCCACCCCTAGGAAATTCCAAGGTCCAAAAATAGCCTTTGGAATCGAGAACCTTCCTCGGGACATATGTAGCACCGCTCGCGTGAGGAAAAATTAGAAGGAAAGTGAAAGGACTCGGTCTATATCTTGTTACTAGAGGACGACCAAAGTTGTGATGGACCTTCGGCCGCGAAGAAACTTATCTGTTATCCCATTATGCATTACCGAGCCGCCAGAAGCAGGTCCACGGGCCACATGAGGCCCGCTGGCCGCGGGTTACATACCTGTTTTAAACATTATCGGTTACAATACCGGTTAACAGCTGTTTACTTTCTATTGCGAGAACATGTTTTTCATGTTTTTCATAGCCGATGGTTAGTCGCTGACTAACGTCCCACGTGGCATATAACTTACCTCGTGTAGCGTGTTCTGACTCCTCGGCTGTCGCGTCATGCACTTCGGACTCGGGAAAAATGGGCGAGTGAAAAAGGAGAACCTTTCCTCTGACGATAAAGAGCTCGTAAAGGAGAATCTAGCGATCGAGAGAGACGCGATGCAGTCTCCTTGCACAAGAATAACATGACTGGAAACTGGTGAGTTTCTTCATTAACCGTAACCGTGTTTCAAGATATCAGGGATTCAGATGACAGGGATTCGTTTTGCACGTACAGGGAAGTCGGGAATGGGAAAAATAGGTGCATTATCTGTGCATGATTGCACGATGAGGATATCCGAGAATCGTGTTTAGATCCTGGTCACCTAGTGACCTCAGTAAAAATCCTTTCGCATCACACACTGCTTGGAGATTCATGAAATAGAAGCCTTTGCGGTTCATAAAAGTTGGTCGAGAATTCTATTCTAGCATGACGGTCGTCAATGGCACCGATCATTCCTGAAAATCCAGCAATATCAAACAATCGTCTTCGAACGAAGACGATTGTTTGATATTGCGGAATGGGTACGTGAATAAACCACGCTCCATTGCGCATGAACCGTAACTGTTCTCATCTGTTGATGTAAAATTATGGGGTTCTTCCGCGCTTTTCCTTCTTTTCGAGTTCAGTGCAAAGCAGGTCGACGAGATCATTCACTGACCCTTTTCCAAATCGGTATCCCACGCTCAAGTTCTCTTCGACACATTCTCAAAGGGATTAAGCCAAGAACCGATGTCTATTCGTCCCCATGCGACAACGATAGCACATCGCTGATATCGAGCCACTCCATCAAGATAATCCATCGTGTCTCACCATTGCGCTCTACTCATCGAGAGTAAACATGCCCATCTCCTTGTCTGGAAATGGCACCTTTTTCAGCTTCTATTAACCGTTGGTTAGACAGTGATTAAGGGAAGAAAGCGTTCGTGCAATCCATTTTTGGCCCATCGGTTAACCGATGATTTTCCAAGAACACCAGGAAAACGTCGTTGATGCAATCGGTCCTAAGTTTTCGAGAAAGTGGCTGCGAGAACGCTAAAAGACGCACAATCGATTGCAATTTTCTGCGGTACTCCATGCTTTTTTTTCGCATGCGCATGCATTTAGCCTTCGGCATTCCTCACTCCAGTTAGAATAACTGAGCACTGCTCTTGAGGAACACGAGGAAAAAATCCATGGACTAGACATTCCATACACTGATGCCAACAGGTAGTCCCTCGAATGTAAATTGCATTATCGACAGTGTTTGCTGAAAACCTATTTACACCTGGAATTCGCCATTTTTCGCTGAATATTTAGTCTGAAGAACAGCTACATCACATGGAAACAAAACTGAACAAAGATTTCGCTACCCTATACGACACGATAGCCTGCATCATGGCATCGCGTACTTCATAGACCTAAAGATCGGTCAAAGATAGAAAATGCGCTGGGCTAATAAGTTTGTGGCTAAAAAAAAATCCCCTCCACGGAGAGAAGAGCACTCATTTCCACTCAGTTCATACGGGGGACTTTCCTCAGTCCGTTCTCGCACTCACCGGGGACGTCTCGCAACAGCGCCGATTCGATCGCCATCACTCTTCTCTCCTGGAAACCTTGTTGCTTCGAGGAAATGCCAGATGATGGGGCTGCAGCTCGATCGTTTCATAACCCTTCTTTTTACCTACGACAAATGACTTCGCGCACCGATTGGATCGAGCCCAGGGGCATTTTTATTTTACTAATCCATGTCTATCCAATGGCAACCCATTACTTCAGAAGACGCGATAAGCAACTTTTTTTCTTCTTTTTTTTTATTCCATTGCAAAAGTAGGTTTTCCGCGAAAAGGAAGAAAACGGTATGTTGGAGCAAACGTTGTCCCAGAAGGATAAAGCCTCTGGTGCTAAGGAATCAGTGTGAACATTTTCAGCGCTCTATATTCTGTGGTTTGGGTGCTAGAACGCTTACAGGCTCGGACAAGCATCAGAATTGCAAATTTCCGGTGGTAGTTAATGCATTTTTTTCCGCCCGTGCTATGTATTAAAGCTTCGTCCGGTACACGCCTTCGGCTAACTCCCTTCGGTTCGGATGATAAAACGGTAGATTTGTCGGTCATGAAGGGCTTTGATAGCTGGTAGATTATCCTCATTTGACATAATGGACTGTGACCTATCGGGACTCCGATGACGATCATTATCATCTACCCTCTTTCCTCCCCAATCCCTCATAAGTCAAGGGAATAATCAGCCTTTGGGAGAACTCCAACTCGCTCTTGTCGAAATTAATCGACTGTAAATACTCGCTTCACGAGATGAAAGTTCATAATATCTCGCTCATAGGGGCGGGTATTCAAAGTACGATTAGATTAAGCACTGGCTCCAGCGAGCTCATAGTAAATCATCTGCTGCACCTGTGCTGACTTAGATGACACGAACGAACATAATTCTCATCATCCCTGTGGCTCTGGAAAGTTTTCAAAGGTCAAGGGTTTCGGGTGTCGGAGTTTCATGCCAGACGAACATCAGATTCGGAAATGAGGATCAGCTCCAGGAGCGGACACCTGGTATTCTCAAGTGGTATCCTCAATCATACGCAAGTAACTTGCTGGTATCGAAATCGCTGCGAAGTTTAGGAATGATGATTGAATGCTGAGCGTTCGCCACGTTTCTTCCTTCAGGCCTCCTCGTTTCCTCTCATGGCAGAGGCCATCTACCTCATGATTACACGAGCATGCATCAAAATTTCGACGCCATTTCCTTGCCTCTCTCGATCACACTTGACTTCTCCTGCTGAAGGCCGCTCTCATTCTCTCGGCGATTGCAATCAACTCGAGTGCTCGTGGGGAGACTTGGTATTTTTTCCGAGTGACAGAAGAGGGAGGGGGTGGGTGGGGGAGAGGTAGTGCATGCGTATACCTAATGAGGGGTGGGATGAATCCCCAGTCTCCCTCGAGAGGCAGGCGAACGTTCAACTGCTGAGCCATTCGTGCACCATACCATCACCTTTCCATCCTTCCTTCGCTTGCATGGCGCACCGGCAGGGCGCATAATAAAAACACATAGCAGGTTAAAGTTTTCCCGTCTCTTATTCAAAGGCCGCGATTGCGAAATCCATCACTGTTTCAGCAAAGAGTGAGACATTGAAAGATGCGTTTTCACATGGAGAAGGGTGCTTCCAGCCCCTTAGTTTTGATCGGCAGTGCAAGAAGATCGTCGTGAGGAATAGTGCGTGCTTCTTTTATTCTTGTCTTACGTCATACCCGTCCACTTGTAAAAGGAGCAAGATCTATTTCTTCCGGTCTTCACATTCATGGGAGGCAAGACGATGGGAAAAGCTACACTCGAAGGTAACAGCAAATTGCTCTTTACTCAAGTTGGCAGCCAACTCAACAAGCATCACACTGCACTAAAGACGGAGAAAGATTGAACTAAATCCCGATCGCTCGCAGACTTTGGCCCTACAAAGTATCGTCGTAGAGTGAAAAAATGGAAGAACTCTTACAAATCACGGAATGGAGAAATAATCCGCTTCAATATAGGCCTCTTTCATAATAATAATAATATGATAATATTAAAAATCTTTTCTTTCCCCACTGAATCTTGCGTCTTTTGTCCTCGTCTCTCTTTGATCAGAGAGGATTCTTGGATTCAAAAAAAAGCATCAGATGAATGAGTCATAAAGATCACAGCAGATGAGAGCCTAAGGAAAGGAAGAGAGAGAGAGAGAGAAGCACAGATGATGAGGATATTGCCAAACGGTCGTGTCCAAGCAGAGCACAGAGCACAGCGTTCGCTGCTTCTCCATCAACTCCAGGAGCCCATGGTTGGATGGATAACACTATGCGGGGCCCGCAGTTTTGGTCCCATTCGCCATCCCTTTACCCTCACCCCCACCCTGACCTTGACCTTGATTCTCCCTATGATTGTGGTTTTTCACACCGTTGTTGGCTTTCCCAGTCCCCGAAGCGTCGCTCTCGCCCTCCGTTTCCGTCTATCCGGAGGATAAGAAATAGTGAAGAAAAAACCAGAGGTCATTCGTGATCAACAGGGTCCGTCATGCTTGTGACATTAGATGGCATACCTGGGAGGTATATCGAGGCTTTGTATTGGAATGGGATGGGGAAGGTGAAGGAGAGAGACGGAGTCTTTCCGACGTGTCCGAGCCGCACGAGGAGCTTTCGGAGAGTTCGCTTCCTGTCCCTCTCCCTGTCCCTTTTCCCAGTCCCCTGGAAGAAGGAGGTTCACGTGGCCGTCCTTTCCTCTGGGCTCGCGGGGACGGGGGAATCCCTTTTGTGGGCCCAACTCGTCGACTCAAGTGACTCTGGATGTGCTCACACAAGCGACGGAATCTCCTCAGGTTCCCTGTAATTCACAGCAATCCAATCTCATTACGACTCGTGACAGGCGAGAGGGAGTTAAGAGACAGAAAATGAGGCAGAGACCGGAATGGAGGATGAAGTTGACGGCAAAGATGGAGATGTTGGGATCCCCATTGGTCGGTGTGACCTGGGACATTTCAACCTGGAATCGGACGTGTCTCTGGAATATCACCGGCCCGCTCGATGCCCTCTTGTATTCCACCCGGAAAGACATCGGACTTGTCACGCTGTGCGACAGCTCCGCTATCTGCAGACCACGACAATCTTATCCAGATGAAGCGACTTCGTTTTCGGATGGAAGTAACCAAATGTTGGCAACAACGGGACTGTGCAGAACAAGTATGCACCTGTAGAGTTGTATCTAAAGTTACACTTCCGTGAAACTTTGTCCAGGAAGCAGCGAGCTTTCTCTGCCCTGGACGAAAGTGTGCACTGTCTTAGCAATCCCATTTTTCATGCGTAAACATAAGACGAAAGAGGCGGGATCTGTTTTGAGTGTTTCGCCTGAAAACCCAACAAATGCCCAAGGTGGCGTCATTTCACATTAGAGCTGCACATCAATGGTTGATTCGCTGCGTGCGGGACAGGTTATGAGTATTCATGATGCCAGTAACATGAAGCTTCTGTCGTCTCTCGTTCTTTTTAGGTGTCATTGGTTAAGGTTCCTTGTTTCTCTTGAAAAACTTCGTATCATTTGTCGATAGCTGTTTTTTGCAAGCGCTTCAAACCTCAAACACTTAAGTACTTTTCCGTTTTAAAAGTAATTTCAAACGTCACGGATTTACCTTTTCATATTTTTTCTTTGTGAAAATTTCAATTAACGACTCAAGACGTTAAGTAATTGCAGTCTGTCACTTTTCCATTGCATTCTTGTAAATGAGGGCAGCGGATATATCCCAGATACTCTAGGTACGATACATGTTGAGACTCTCCGGGTATGATGTAATTGATTGTGTCACAAATGTTCTTTAGCAAGTGGAGTGATGAAATTATTCGGGCAAAGAGAGGCAACGCAAGCTAAGCCTAGCCTAGAGGGATCTTTTCCGATGTGTGTTGGTAGGAGGAAAAGGATTCGTCAACTACTTGGAAGGGAACTGGCTGAAGGAGCATGAATACCCACTCCCACGTCGTTCAGCTGACATCGCCAGATGTGCATTGGGTCGGGATATTGGACAGCTGGATGTGACCGATGCCCTTCCCCCAGAGCGTAAATTTCAAATTTCAAATTTGCTTTAATAATGCAAGAATTTCGGCAAAATATAATTTGATGAGTATCTTTCCCATATCTGTCTCCATACCAAGTTTCACAGCAACCAGGGTGACATTTATTAGGCTATAGTCTAATAGCCAGAGTGAAATTCGCAGAGGGACAGACAGGATGGGGCCACAAGTAGCCTCTTTTTTTATCGCAAGAAGGGCCAGAATGAAAGGAAACTCTTCCTATGAAAAGGCCATAAGGGGACTCTCCATTTGGAAACTTTTCCCCCGGCCTAATCCTTGGAAATTGGAATCGATTTTGCAGTTCACGGAAGTGCAACTCTGAGTATAAGAAATGCCGCAGATTTCAGATTGGCTTTTTGAAATGAACTTTGGAAATGCTCTATAATAATGAACAAAATGCATTTGAGAGATGTTCTGTGATACTTGGAATGTTAATTACTTGCAGAGAAAGGCACTACCACTAGTCCATACGTCCAGCAGACAACACACATATGGAGACTTCAGACAAAAATCCTTTGTTGTTGCAGCAGCATGGAATTCACGTTAGGGAGAAGGGGATTTCGGAGGGGGTATGCAAAGGACCCAAAGATTCCCTGATTCCTTTTCCCTCTCCTCTACTGTATTCACGTAGGTACCTAAGTTTTAGGTACCTTGTATCTCATGCAAAATGACCCTTCCTATCTGAGGAGGATTCCTCATGGAGTCAATGTTATAAGAAGCCTTGTTTTCCTCTAGGTCCCCCTAGTACAAGAAGCACCAACGATTGAATATTGAATTTTGCTAGATGGGGGACACTCTTTTCTCAGCAGTGTCGATATTCAGAAGCGGACTTACGGAGAGGAAGGCATGGATGAGGTCAGCTTTCAATTGAGCAGACGTGCGATCCCGGACGACCACGGTGTAATTCTCATCCCTTTCACCCCCGGCCAAGAGAGCACCCAACCACGAACGCTTGGCCAACTCCGGCGACGTATCTGGAGTGAGATGTTGCGCCTCCTCGCCTCCCGTCGCTACACCACAAATGCACATCCATAGTCATCGGGAGAGAATGGAGCCGGTCGCAGATCGGACGAAGGGGAGGAACTCACGTTGGAGTTTCCTCCTGTGGAAACGCGGGGATCCAAGGAACGTGTTCTTTAGGTTCGTCAGCCGAGATTTCCACACCTGAGACAACTGGGGGGATCCAGGCGGCGTGCGAACGGGGTCAGAGCCAGAACCCGACCCAAGGGGCGATGGGTGGAGGAGATTGTTCAGCGCTGACCCACGTGGGCTCAATTTTGGACTGGAGAGAGGCGAAGAACCTGGGCTGGAGACGGAATGACTTCCTCCTCCCCCTTTCCGACTACAATCATGGATAAAAGTCATTCGTATAATCCAGAGACACTGATCAACGGACCAGACGAAAGCAGAAAGAAAAACACAATAGACTGACTTGAAATGTCTTCGAGTTATGACAGGGGAGCCTTCACTGAGTTGTTCGAAGTGCATGGGAGAACCGCCATTCAGTTTACAATCCACTCTTTTCTTAGGTGGATCCAGGGCGGATCCGGATCCAGGATTCAGATCCCCACCGGATCCTCCTCGTCTCCTTCCTTTTCCGTTCTCCTCTCCGTCATCCAAAGCCGGTTTCCTTTGCTTCCGGTCCAACAACAGGAAGTAGATCACCTTCTCCGTGTTGTGGCTGTAAAAGGCGAGTCTCCGAGTCAACTTTGAGAACGAAGGGACGAAAGCAAAAAAAGAGAGGAGTAAAGAGAAAGACTGACTATGGTCCGAGGAGCTCCGAGACGAGTTTCTCGCGGTCCTTGAAGCACCCAAGGGAGGTGATCATTTGAAGGATATCTGGATCCAAAGCATCCCGACATGGAATGATGTGAGTCTGCACCACCTGCATCATAGGCAATTCGCTCTCCAATTCCCCTTTCCCTCCGGCCACCACCCACGGATGCCTTTTGATCTCGCTCAGCTGCAAAAGGCAAATGCCAGTCGCTCGATAGACATCTCTTTGGACCTCTGATTTCTCGGTCATGGTCTGGTCTCGAAAAAGGATTTTTTGGATATTACCTCCTCGCCTCGTGAGCCCAAAACAATGGCAGATAGAATCTAACAGAAGAAAGGAGAGCATCGATTGTCTCACATTTCTCGTCTCGAGAATTTCGAGGTGTCGTGCTTGGCACCCTGGCCCTCTCTTATCATGACAGAGAAGCTACAGCTTCCTGTAGTGAATAAAACATGATCCTTGACCCTGTACACGAAAGGTCTCAAGACAGCTTCGTCGACAAAAGAACATTTCGCAGGTTAACTTTTTTTGGGACAGTGCGAATGCATTTCTTCACGCAAATAATTCTCTGTGTAACACGCTCGTTACCTGTAACTAGTTCTTTGCGTGAAAAAAAGAGCTTAATAATGCGAGTGGGCAGCCTTGTTAGTCATTATTTTAGCGCCCCAAGTAGGGATGTGATAATTGAACCACGGACACAACCTCTGCCAAATTCATCTCACCCGCTCCTTCCCAATGGCCGTATGGCTCCTCTCGCAGTCTGTTCGTTGGGCGTGGGTAGTACAAACACGGATATCAATTTCATTTAGTGAAAATAAGTCATTGCACGAAAAAGGTCTCCCGGCAGTCCGAAAATGACTTCAGGTCTAGATTTCTCACATTTTCACCCAAGATCGATTGCCGGGCCAGTGCTACCTTCTGTAAGATGAACTGTGTTCTTCTCAAGTGTAGTTTGAACCTAGGTTTATCCTGTTCAAATAACATGGATTTAATGCTCGAGTGGCAAATGACACATCGTTTGGATCGGTCAGGCCCATCCCAAATGCTCCTCTCTGAATGCTCCATTCCTGCTGGTGCAGTTCTCTTCAAAATCCCATGATAGTACGGCAGATGTATCAGCAACCCATACATCAAAATGAATTTTCAATTTGCGATACGATTTTGAGACTTAAGAGAAACGCAGCTCGTGTACGGGCGATCATTCTCAGAAGTGAAGCTCAGATATTCACCTTTAAAGTCATTTTCGAGGTAATATTGGTCAATAAAATGAGGTCACAACCCAGTCGTTTTGATCTGAAAACCGAGTTTAAAGTTTTGTTTTTTTGCAAAGGATGATCCTTGGTGAATTCAAGCATGCGATTTTTACACAAATAAAACCAGCCAGAGAAAATATATAGGTGCTTATATAAGTAAACCTGAGTCGTAGCTAGAAAAAATAAATCCAAAGTTAACACGGCTGCAGACGGAAAGCTATTCGAGAGAGCGGAATGTTTGCAGGACGTCCCATTCAACAAGGGCAGATAGTTCCGCTAAAATTAGAATGGAGTGAGCGATTTAGAACCAGAATAATATCAAACTCTTTTTCCGAGCGATGTTGAACGAGCGAGTGCCTCAATCTGCGCCTGTCTGCTCAGCTGGAATGGGCGACACGAGGAGTCGGGTCGAGCGGAGAAGCAACAAGGTTTAGCATGCTGTTGAAAGCGTTCGTGCTACATTGCGTGTGGAATAACAACTGTTGCATTCTCTCTCTTTTCTCTCGGGTTCTAACGACCGATATCATTTACGAGGTACATTTTCATGAAACCACCTAACGTGCTACTATCTGAGATGACTACCTGTCATCTCAGAATGACAGTTCGTCTGTGCTACACTTCTGCCCAATTTCAGCCTTTCAGCACGAAGAGCCCAATTCTTCTGATTAGCTGCGACCCTATGACATCAATTTTAAGTCTTAATGGTGGCGTGACAATAGCCCAGTGGTAGGGCGTCCGCCTGCCCCCGGGAGGTCCAGGATCGATCCCAGCCGCCGGCACACCTCCTGGGCACCATGGGGAGCATATGGCACAAGGCATATTGGAGATTCATCCTTGGCATAAAGACCCAATACACTCATCGACAGCTAATGTTATGGGAAACTCATGACATTGACAGCTCCCGTTTTGTTTCCTAGCAGAATTGTAATCCACAACAATTACATTTTGAATCTCATCGGATGGCAACTCTTTCTCTGCAGAGAAATTACTCGAAGAGGAAGGAGCTGAAAAGCACCTTCCGGTAGCTGGCCGTGCCTACTATCCGAGAAGTAAACATCAGATTTAAGATTTGGTGCGGTGCTGACCGTGAGTCTCTTGTCGGGGTTGACGTGAATCATGCCGCGCAGGAGACTCTGGCAGTCAGGAGGGACGAAGTGAGGGATATGAAACACTCCTCGTTTCACTTTCTCCAGCAACTGACGAAGGTTATCGTCGTCGAAGGGCAAGGCTCCCACCAAGAGGGCATAAAGGATCACGCCACAGGACCAGATGTCTGCCTTCCTCCCGTCGTACCTCTCTCCCTACGCAAGAGAAATGAGGCAAATCTTTATCCAGAGAAAATGAACGATGAAAAACCTGAAAGAGGACTAATATGCCTTTTCAAGAGATTCTCAGGCGTACCTGTCATTGAGCTAACTCGCATGGCTGAGGCCACCAAGCCAGGGCTCACGAGGGGAAGGAAATACCAAATGGGGTTCGCAGAAAAAAAAAGAACATACATACCACGAAGAAAATGCAGACCCTTATTATTGTCTTGGAAGAAATCCTCCGTCTAGACATTGCGTCTCAAGATCAGCCTCTGATATTCCTTCTCATCCTGCTTTTCAATCTCGAACTTCTTTCAAAGTTAATTCTCTTCCTCCTTTCTCTCTGATGCAGTTCCATCCTTCACGATGAATGCCACCATTTGAGGCATTCATCTTTCTCTCCTTGGATTCAGGGTGACTCCACAAAGCGAACGTTCAATTAAGGGCGAACCCACGGATCATTATTCTTTCCATTTAGCGCTCGTATTTTGAAGCTAACGGGCTCCGGGAAAGATTCCCATCCCTATTAAAATACGGAGACTTCCTCTTGCCTTTCTCCTATTTGCTCATGATATAAATAATAGGTTCCGTGGAAACAGAAAATGTATCATCTCTCATTTTTACCCGATCACCATTACACGAATCCACGCTAAAAAGCGATGAAGATCGAGGAAGATACTATGAACGCACTCTTTTTCTCTCTACTTCTGCCTCTTCGTGTTTTCTATCCGGAAAGAAAGTTTTTAGAGGTGAAGTTCTTAACTTACAGAACTCCATTCACCGGTGCACTTACCGAGTCGACATTTCCATTCGGTCATGCATTCGTGAAGATGCTCGGTCCTCATCATATCTCTCCTGCATTCGAGCCCATCGTGCATGGAATGGAATGGAATTGAAACTGGCAGGTCGATTTAAACGCCAGACAGATGGGAAACGAAACTGTCTAGGCGTACCATGGCCCGTGTCACATATTGGTCTTGAGTACTACATTCTCATGACGGAGTGCTCGACAGAAGCCATAGCAGCGATTTTAGTCCAATCAAATACCGTGCATGAAAAGAAAGATGGGTAGAATTCATAGCAGTGTCTAAGACTTTCATTGAATACGAGCCCAGAAAAGCTGGATTTTGAGCTATTTTCTCTCCCTCAGCTCATCGGATGGCCCGTTTCCCTCTCCTTATGTTCATCATCCCATGCTAATACGAATCCTTTGTGGTGCGCAGGTAAGGATAATTGCAGAAAGGCCTGAGAAACGCATTGAAAAGGGGATAATACGCTACTGTTTCCAAAGTTCTTCACTGTAGAATGGATCGTAGGAGGAATTTTACCGTTTTTCGGCTCTCTTTCGAGGCGAGGAATTAGTTAAATGGAAATCCACTCTCCTTCCTCTCAAGAGACAACCCAATCACGGATCACGAAAAATGCTTCAAGTTCCTCCTACGGTCCATCTACGGTCGGTTCGTAATCGCAGTTCGTAAGTAGTTATCTAATGATATTAATTACCCGTATGACTTCGGGGCATGCATAGTGAGGTGATCCGCAAGAGGTCTCCAGCATGAAGCCATCTGGCTGAAGAGATGCCATCCCGAAATCCGCTATCTTGATGTTGTTCTTCTCGTCCAGGAGCAAGTTCTCTGGCTTCAAGTCCCGGTGGCTGCACAAATAAATCTCCCATGCACGGACAATATTTACTACCGCGAAAAGACTGCAGAGAGGCTCTGGCCCACGTGTTATGATACGGACCAGATGGAGTGGGAATGGCAGAAGTCCAAGGCGGAGATAATTTGCCGGAAGAACCGTCGAGCTTCCTTCGGCGTCAGCCTCCCTTTCTTCACTAAGTAATCAAAGAGCTCACCCCCGCTCACGTGTTCCAAGATCAGGTACCTGTCTCGCACAGACACGCTTCATGCATTCATCTCATCCAATTCTCATGACGGGGGAAATTCCATCGACTTACAGGTATTTTTTGTTCTCGTAGACATCGTAGAGGCCAAGGACGTGAGGATGTTCGATCAACTTCATGATCGCAATCTCTCTCTCCACCTGTCATCACGACCATAGCCACTGCGACCGACATCATCGTAAAACACGATAAAGGAGTTATCGCTGTGACTCACTTTTTGAAGGACGGATTCGCTAAGCTTTTCTCGGTTCACGATCTTGATGGCGACCTTTTTCCCAGCCACGCAATGTGCGCCCAACCTCACCAGCCCTGCGCACCACAATCAAAAGCATCTGTTACCGGTATGGTCCGGCCCTCATCCAGTGTTCGAACGGAGTGTGATCGTCTTTTTTATTGCCAACGGAATCCCATTCTGCCTAAGTGAAGGCCCACATGTGGCCAATGAGTACGATGTGGGAAGGACTTGCATTTTATGAAAAAAAAAACTTCCATTTATCCGAATGCAAGCCAACTTGCGGGCCTGTCATTCGTATGAAATAGAGGGCTGAGCAATAAGCTATATTCCTTGTGGGGGGAAAGATATCGCCTTATCATTTGATATGATAACCTAATACAGCAATAAATATTACTGAAACAATCGCGCTCCCACTGACAATATCAGTGGCAGTTCGATTTTCAACCCTGAGATTTTGCCTAGCACATGCTCTCAGCGAGAAAATATTTTGTTCTACCGATCCGATACCAACTTGACCACGACGACATGGATGGGTCAACAAGAGTTTAAGGTGATATCCCAGCGTACGGAGTCCTGTGGAATCCTTTCATGCCACTCTGAACACGGTGCAGGGGATGTGAATTACGGGGTGAATGTTCTGCTTCAGCAGCAACCCCTTTTTCTATGGTTATGCGATGAGGGGGAGATGGGAGGGGCGAGGACAAGTCACGCAGTGAAATTAAATCTTTCCGTGCTCTGTCTTCCAGGGAGAGGAGGGGAAGAAATGAAAGAGGGTAGGGAGGAACCCCAAAGCGGGCTAGCATGCAGCTCGGCTTTCTTACACTTCACCTCTCTCTATCTCAACAATTTTACATTCTCAAGCTTTACTGTTGCTTTACCATGAATGATTTTCGAACGAACCTAACCTTTCATATGCCCATACTAGAGCCTAGTGACGTCAGCGACAAGCCTCATCACATACCTTCCGAAAGTTTTGGAGAAATTTGAAACAAGCACATGAAAAAAAATAATTTCGAATGATTCTTGGTTTATTGAAGAAATTTTTTTAGCAAACCCCTAATTTCGATTTAATTACTTTATCTACCCCTAAGCTAGATTTCATCAAGCAATTCTTTACAGTTTTCCATAATTTTTGGTATATAGATTTCTCTCCATACACCCATGAGCCAAGCTCCCCACTTTTGCTGTGAACCACGAAACTGTTCTCGCTCCTCCAGCAAATCCGAGATTGGGGAGTGGGAATTATCGAGGCAGGGACAACAAAAAAGGAACAGGGCTGGGATTTACGCGTATCCAACATCGAGCATTTGTCATCTCCGGACTCTCATGCAATCAGTGCAATTTCAGTTCAATCCATACGATGAGCATTACAGTCCTGACACGTCAAGCTGGTGCATTTAACCTATTTAAATTGCACATTTTTGGCATTTTCGAGTGTCGTTCTGTTTCTGCTTCCCACAATCCCTGATCAGGAGAGAAAGTAAGACGAATAGACCATATGAATTTTCGAGCGTGAGAAGAGTATGAGACAAGAGTCTTGAAATGATCGATAAGATTCTCATCTTCCCATAACAGAAGTACGGAGTTTTTCTGTTGGCACTTAAGGTTTTGTCGATAGGCATTATACGATGGGCTGACCACATGTACCATCCAGGTATGGGGGCAAACGAGATGTGACGTCATTATCTTCTCTCCTAGGGATTACTCGCGTCCGACTGTGAGCTGGGATTTTCCCGACTCAGAACAGTAGGATTAGGTTATCGGTTGTCGTTCCCGATGCGGGACTTTACTTTATTGACACCGCATCAACGTAGGACGTGAGGAGATTGAGAATAGCAGGAATTCTTTTTCGGTCCTGGCTGGACGGGATAATGCAGAAACTATTATGTATCGATTGGGTGCCTTTGTGATGGTCATCCATCTTCATTTTTCCATCTGCAGAATGACCAGGTCAAAATAGGTTGTGTTGCTGCGAGCCTCCTTTCCAAAACGAAACTTTTCGGTATGCGGCGAGACCTCAGAGAGAGAGAGAGAGAGAGAGAAAAGAAAGACATGGATAGATTGTTGTTAACACGTAGACTTGGGGTCGAAAGACAGATGGAAATTACGCTTGGTACAGGAGTGATTATTTGATTGGGAAGCTTGGAAAGTTTCCAAGTAACCAGCTCAGGCTGGGCGCCAGGCTGGTCGGAATCCTCCATCGCGTCCTCACTCATCACTCCAACTCCACCGTGATTTTCAAATCCATTAATTCTTCACTGTTTCGAAAGCAATGTTTCTTTGAGTCAATTCCCCAGGGGAACGGAACGAAAACATTCGTCCATGAAGCTTTGACTTTCGGACTCTTTTATTGAATGCCCTTCCCTTTAAAATAAAATAAAACTCTATTGATTTTTCCGATGCCAAGTGGTTCATATTTCTCACGAATATATGAAGCGAACGCATCATTGCACCGTGGAGGGACCAATGTACTGTCTCCTGAATCACAGAGAGATATGCATATGGTCTCAGTTTTTTTTCTAACCCATTTCAATCCGTGACAGTCTAGAGCTAAACTGTAACCTGACCATTGCCATACTTGTCTTCCCAAAACCGAAAATAAACCGTACTAAAGGAGAGGCAGGACATGAATAATGTGCAGAGCGGGAATTCTAGACCGTGCCGGAACTCCTGGGTGTCCAGACTCCATCCTTTCGCACCGAAAAGCACAAGGTGCTGCTGGCTGGCTGCCAGCATCCCAGTCTGCACGAGGACATCCAGTAAACGTGAATATTTAGTTATTCGGTGAGGATGGTGCTGGGTTATTTCGATGCTTATGCGGATGTTGAGGAGTCGTTCGTTTTGCACGTGATGCGGGAACAAATTCTGCCACCAGGGTATCGCCAAGGAAGAACTCCTTGAGTGCACCATCTTGAATTTACATTTCAATTGATAACATTGAAGGCGTTGGAGCTTTTCTTGCATGTTTATTCTGCAAGTTACAGTCGACGTGTTATACACATCACCACCATCATACCGATAGCGCTCCGTAGACCTTGAGTTGACTGAGTCGTCGGATGACCCGATGGCTTCACCACTTATCTGACAATTTCCAAGGAAGGGCCTTCACCTAGAGGCGGGTTGTGGGAGATGGTGAGACATGAGCAATGGGTTCTCATCCGTTACCCCTATTACTTCAGTTTCGTGTACATCGCAGTCAGGTGAAGGCCACCTCCTCGATCGTACACGGTAACTGAGCGTCGGGAGCTGGGTCTCGGAAACGAACGGTGCAGCATGTCTCTACCACGAATCTCACTTTCCGTCTAGCCGAGGCCACCTTCCTCGTAGGTGTTAAGAAGCAGTGAAGTCGCCGGACCATCCGACGGCTCAATCGACTCGGAGTCTACGACTCCCACGAGCTGCTGAACAAAAACGAAAGCAACCGCGTATCTCAAAACCTCGGGAATGGAAACACGAGAATCGAAAAATTAAAAATCATTCGAGCGAAGAGATGTATAGGAATGACAATGTATTCAGAGAGATATCAATAATGCCAAAAATCTAACACGAACCAGATTCTGCCTCTAGAGTACGTCTATTCAAACTTACACGCACGCGAGAGAACCGGCACAGACACGAACGTATCTAACGAAACAGGGTCGCTCAGAGGATTCCAGGGGCCCGGGGCAAATTGCCCCCTTTGTCCCCCCCCCCCCTTCTGGGCGGCCCTGTAACGAGAACTCGACTGTAAAAGAGCAACGCGAAAAGCAAACTAGACATGATAGAAAAGCTGGACTGGCGATCTTGAGCTTCCCTACCCTGCACTCTTGAGCAAGAGTAAATTCTCACAGCGCACTCTTCACCCATATTCACCTTTCATTTCGTCTCTCGTTCCAATATATCTTAATGAACGATGCTACGATAATTTATGCTCTTGCTTGATATTTTCGGCTGTCGTCGGTATAAATGTCTTACACGCGGGGGGAGAATACGATAACAAAAACGGACATGGTTTACAGAGCGGCAGACAGGCGGCCTCGTTTTTCGTATTCCAGTCGGGGAACCTCTGCATCTCCTCGGCCCCATGCCCTGGATATCCAAGAGACTCGCCCTCCTGCCGATCGGTGTGTCATGTCTGCCACGGCAATTCGACTCTAGCCCCTCGTGTAACCCTCTCTTAGAGTCTACTCTTTTGCGGAAATAATACTAACAGACAGAGAGCACTATTTTCGTCATAATAATCCCTTATATGGTTTCACGTTCCCAAGGGAACGAGGGGAGCTGTGAATTTGAGGAAAAGAAGCAATTCACTCAATGTGGACATATGGACTTTTACTCCGAGTCTCATTTGACGTTTTTTAATTTTGAAAATTAAAAAAAAATATATATATAAAGGGGTTTGAAAACACCTCTCTCAGATGCACAAGAGATGTAATTCATTTTAATGCAGACTGGGGTCAGATTCCATCATAATCTCGAATTCTTGATTCATTTCAAGCCAGATCCAAACTCTTTCGGCCAAACAAAACAATGAAGACCTAAGCAGAACCGTGACATATTAACGTTTTTCGTAACCGTTAGCCGTATGGTCACGCTTTGTGATTTGACCTTTGATGCAGTTTTTGATGCACTGTGATGATCACAGCCTGAACCATTCCTTTCGTATGGCACTTTATACTCTTATTTTAGACTGGTGGTGCATAATTACTTTGATTGCCCTGAATTGGTGGTATGGAACTTATTTCGTTATTCAAGCGCGCTGGGACTAGATGGTGACTCAGAGGCACTGAAGAGTCGAAGGTCGAACTGGCAGAAAAAGTTAGGAATAGCAAGTCTTATCGAATGCCTATCTATAGTGATCTTCATATTTCTCCTATCCCACGGAGAAATATGAGGATCACTACAGATAATATGCAAAAGGGGGAATTCAAATTTTAAAGGGACACAAGTATGCATTAGGTAAATATGAGATACAGATGAATGTGACTACTTTTCTGCATAATCTTCAACAACCGTTCTACTTTCTTTCCAGCAGTGAACCAGTCCCCTACATGCAATCGGCATAGATTTATTCGGTCATAAAGCAACCTATTGCTCCTCCTCGTGCCTTATCACAATTTGTGGTAGGCGTTTCTCTAAAGATGACACGTCGAATGCTGAGGCCTATGCCGTCCCCTTTGTCTGCATGGAAACACGACGTCGGCCTCCAACATATCCAGACCTTGGAAGATCGCATCCAACGGTGCAGTTTCAGGCATTCAGAGCAAGCTGCCGTTCTCACCGTGCTCTTCCGTATTTCAGCTGCTCAATCCTCTCATGCACTTACCTTCACAAACATTCATACCCAGAAGGTGATATTTGCCGCCACACCTGACTAACATTCATCTGCAAATTAATTTTTTTTTTAAATTCGAATCACTCCTCTTTGCTCTTCTGACAAAGTCAGATGACGCTCCAGCCGTATTTGGCTCTCATGACATTTATTGCCGGAGGCCTTAACTGCAGTCAAACTGGGGGCCAGGGAGTTGTAGCCAGGGAGATACAATTTATATCAAGGGGGGAATTGCCAATGGTCAATGGCATAGCCTCTTTGTAGCAGTTTGTCCCTTTACCTATGGTCTTCTCCTTGTAGAGTGAAGAAGGAACGGAATATTTACAGAATATGCTGATAGTCTAGTTACCAAATCCTCCTGATGAGGTTCGTCCAATGGAGAGATGGCGTTGGTGTCCCTACATAGGCACCATATCATCAGACGTAAATACACTACTGTAGAGCCGTCTCTCATTTTTGGACAACATAGACGTCAGATTTTGAATTTCCAAAATTACAAATCTTTGATTTGTAATTTTGCAAGAGATGTTGCACCTTCATTTCCCCTTTTCATGGTCACGTATGAATACGTGTCGGTTCGGGGGGCTGCAACGGAAGGTCAAGGTGGTGTCCTGCTAGTCTCTCATGCCTGAAGGATGCATGTACGAGGTACGACCAAGCTCTCGTCAGTTTTATGAGGCAGTCTATCCTGTGATAGACTGCCATCATGCTAATGACCCAGAAACGCTTTGCATCCTTTCCGTTAAAAAGAGCACGCTCTCATCACTGATTCATTCCACTCTATACACCGGCACCGGCACACAGTTACTGGTCATTTTGGATATAGAACAGTCATGAACTTGGTTGCCTCTATAAAGTCAGGTCCATCGAGGTACTCCTGCATACGAAATGTGTCGGAGGACTTTGAGGGAAAAGAGTCCTAGACCTGGTTTTATCTAAAGGGGTCAAGAGTCCTTTCAAATGTATGAACTTTATTTATGCCATAGCTGTATGAGAAGTCGATCTCGCCAGCAGCTCTATGAGAGCCGGAAAAAGTCAATGGCCGACTTCTTATAGGAGGGACACGGCACTTCCCACTATTAAGCGTGCAATGTTGCGAATTTCCAGTGAAAAAAGCCTAGTGTAAGCTTGAGTGTACCCAACCAATCTGTGATTATCGATCTGCATGGCGAGTGAGTGGACTCACCGGTCTGCCCCTTCCCCAGAGTCTTCTCCAATCGATAAGGCCCCACGTATTGATGGACTGGAGTGGTAGAATCACTGGACGTGAGTTGGGGTGAATTGTTCTCTTTATCCATGATGGAAGAAGGAGATGCACTGATCCAGATCCGGATGGAGGGAAGCAGCCATGATCCTGAGCCTTACAGTGGGTCCACATCGATCCATCTCCATTCTCGGCTTCCCCTTCTGACGGCCTTTCCCATATCTCCTTCCACACGTAATAAAGATAAGTGGAGCACGGTACTGCACACACGGCTGGCAGGGGGCGATAAGTCCAACTGACCTATGACGTGAACCATGATGTTGACGATGATGACATGAGGAGCACCTGAGAGCGAGGAAAATGGAGCCTGCATGGCCATGCAGTGGGTGGTGGCATGCGCCATGCTCTCCCCCCCCTTCCTCCTCTTCTTCCCTTCCCTTCCGTCCTGATCAATGCTTCTCTCCCCCCTCTCTTCCTCGTCTCCCTCCCCCTTCGAGTCCATCATCATTCGCATGCACCCTGGCACTCCTCTCTCATAATTACTCCCAGTCCCCCCACAACACGTCTCCTTTTCTCTTTCATCCCCTTTTCTCTTTTTCTTTCCTTTTCGACGCAACATGAATGCCGACTCGTTTTTATGAGGGTCGGTATGACTCTGCAAATACAATCGAGGAATGAAAAATGCGATAAAAAGACGGAGATTTTATTGCTCCCCTGGCGCCTGAGGAATGGAGGTCTGAGGCCCGCTTGACGTCGGGGATATCCGGGCCCTTGTCTTTTCTAGGATGGTCATATTTCCTCCTTGTCTCTAACATGAATAAAGGGGAGGAGGGCTTTTCAGGCCTAGGCCCCTTCGTGCATTCACGCTCACTCCTCTCCCCTTCTCAGTCTTTCTTTTCAGATGTGTTCATTTCCATTTTGGTGTAGAGGATCCTCCTTGATTGCTCCCGTATCGCCAGATTCCCGCTCCTGCTCCTTGGCTTGCTAAATCTTCATCGATGAGTAATTCGAAGTCTCCGAGGGCAGAAGGCTCGGGAACTTTGTTCCACCGTGCACTGCACATCCCATGGAAAAAAAGACGAAATGGAGGAATATTTATGTAACACTCTTTCTGGAGCATCCACACTGGAAGTAATTTTAGGCCTCATTATTCTTGGGCCTTTCCGCGACTCACTCAGGAACGCCTGAGTTGGGAAGAACAACGTCGATGACGTTGTCGATCAGTTTGGACTTCATAATTCTGTCATTAGCAGTCGTTGAAGTCAACGACGGAGATGCGTTCACCTAAGGGAAAGCAAGAGAACAACTGATTTTCACACGCCCTCGTAGCATCTCTTTCTCGTTCCTTGATCTCATTCCAATTACCTCGATGAGCCAGGGTTTGAGATTTTCGTCGATGATGATGTCGTAGCCATAGCATTCGAAGCAGTGTCGGTCGTTGACGATGATGGGTGCTACGGCCTTCAGGGAATGAACGGTGAGCCAAATAATGTCATCCATGAGTTTCCCAGAAACTTCCTTCCCTCGCGTTCCTTCCAAATACAAGAGCAGGTTCCCCACCGTCCACTTGCCCCCGTGGATGCTGTTGTATTCCTCCTGGAAGAAAAATACAAATGAAAAGAAGGATAGAATACTCTTCTGTCTGTTGCGGCAAAGAGGGATGAAGAATTACTGATGACGTACGCCTTGTTTCTGGATGGCAACGTTCGTGAGATGGACAAACATGTTGTCCAGTTCATCCAGAGAAGAATCGTATTTTAGAGTGCAGAATCGACAGAATCCCTGACGGAACAGGTAGGCCTTCAGAGGACGATAAGACGTGACGAGAACGTACAGGCGGAGATCGAACTTCTTCCCTCCGATCAACAAAGGATTATCGATGTATCGGGAGATCACGTAACTCTCCTTCACATTTCCCGGATTGAAATTCGGGCTCTTGCTGTCTCGAGACCACTTTTTGATCTGCGACAACTTGTTGATGAGGAATATCCCCACACCTAGACGATAGGAAAGTGTTACGAAGTGGCTTCTTTGTGAAGTAAGGGGGTTTTCTCTGTATGAACTCAATCCCGTGTTATGTACCTTGCGACTTCCCTCCAGGTTTCACGATCCAAGTGCTCGATGGGTTCTTGCGGAATTCCTCGACAAACATGTTATAATCAGAGGGAAGCATGAAGGTGACAGGGATGAAGTCCAGGTGAAGGTATTTCCCTTCCCTCGTTTTTTCGGCCAAGGGATTTCCTTCCCTCTCCAAATCCCTTCGGTATCTCTTCACGTTCTTCACCAGCAAATCTTTCCGCGTCAACTCGAAGTGATTTGGAAAGTGACTGATGATCCTTCGTAGAAATTTTGAGATAAGGAAACGATTAAGGAAACGATATTTGACCTTTGAACTGTGATACGTTACGGGAGGGAAATAATCGAGAATAACGCACTGGGTGTCAAACATGCGATAGCCGCTGTCGACAGAGAAAAGAGCTCTGCAGGTCTGCGGCCCTGCCCTACGCAGAGGGAAGGGGGAACTTTAGAACATGAAAGGAAGAGAAATGAGTTTTACCTTCATCTCTATGGAAATTGGGACGAGGCCAGCAACCCACCAGTAGAAATTCCACTCATCGTCAGGTCCGACGGGATACCAGCCCCTCTTCTCGAAATTGTTTACCACGACAGATTTCTCCGTGTCTGTGCAGTATGCTAGTTTTGCTGCCATATTCGGCAGAAGCGTTTGATCAATATCATTCCGCATCAGCCGGCAGTGCCGAACCGACAGTATCCAGCATGGTCCATATCGGGCCTTGAGTTGATCTCCCCTCTCCTGAAATACTTTAATGGTCTATCCTCGAGGAAGTATTCGCAGAATCCCATTACTGGTGGTTCTCTATGGTTGGCACTGTTTTGGTAGTGCGTGATATAGAATATGCTTTTCATTATTTGGAAATGGTGAGTTCATCCGTTGCTGACTGTTGCAAGTACCAAGGGTAGAGTCAAGAGAGAAGCAATATTCGAAGGCAAAAGAGGTGGATTTAGAGAGATACGTTGAATTTTGAAAAGTGAGAAGGATAAGACGCGGAAGAAAGGCTAAGGAGAGTGAACACCCCTGTCCTTTCTGAAGATTGGAACCATGGCGGCGGCGGCGGCGGTAAGTTCTTCCCTACTTTTCAAGAAAATGCAACGAAATTTCACCCCTTTTGCTGCAAAAGCATAATGTAACCTGTCTAGAACGGCATGTAGTTCAGCTCCGAGGTCCGCGGGAAAAATTCAGGGGAAGAGAATCAAGGTAGACAGGCCTAAATTGCTAGCCTTGGTCTAAACGTTTGATATTTTAACTTAGGCCTAACTTGGCGTTACAGTTTCCATTTTGGAGGATTCATTTATGATACTATGTCTAGGCCTTGACCAAGCCTGATTGAGTTCTTTGTTAGCCTGTGGAGTGCAATTAAACTTGTGCTGAGTGAACCGCTTTCTCTTACCGGCTAATGGTTTTTCTATTTCCAGGATGCAGCAGTGAAAGTGGCAGAAATCCGCGATTTGACACGGATCGAGCGAATTGGTGCACATTCACACATTCGTGGACTAGGCCTAGATGACACGCTTGAACCACGACAGGTGGGAGACTTAGGTTAGGTCCTGTTTTAGGTTAGAGTCCAGCTGTATTCCAAATGGCTCTGAACCCCATCCTTGGTGTTAGGTATGGTTTTGCAGCCTTATAACATCCTTGTTTTGCCAGGTATATAGTATGTCTTCTTTCTTGGCTCATGCATTAGTGTTTCCCCTTATTTAGCTGACTATTCCATAGAAGCTGATCTAGAATTCTTCACTATGCAGGGAAAGGAGATTCCGTCTGTCAATGCAATTAAAAGCAGATCTTTGGGCTGTGTAGTGACAGTAAATATCTTTTTGAGAGCCATAATTGCCAAGAACTCTGATGATGTTTTGGAAGAAGATAGGTGATAGCATCAATATTATTCTCTTTCACTTGTGTGTAAATTAGGAAAGATTAAGGTAAATGGCTAAATATTTCTTAAGTTCCAAAGCAATATATTTTCATGGACCTTTAGTATTGATGAGCATCACCAACAGGCTTGTTTGTCAACTATGGCTTGTTTTTTCAGACCTCCCAAGGGATGGTGGGTCAGCTGCAAGCCAGAAGGGCAGCTGGTGTTGTTCTAGAAATGATCAAAGGAGGAAAAATTGCTGGTAGAGCTATCCTTTTGGCTGGGCAACCTGGAACAGGTAACACCACTCTTTGGTTCTCAATAATAATTACTATGGGAGGATTTCCTGATTGAAGTTTTGGGTTTTTTTTACTTTAAGTGGACCTGTGTCTTTAAAAAGGAATTAGTTTCTATGTTTGTTTGCCTACACAAAGCTTCTAATCAACATCGTAGGAATATTATGTTATAAAAATGCCACTTTTTTGTAAGTCATGGACATGATCAAATCCAAATAAATTTGATTTAGGAACTTTTGTCATAGTAAAAAGTTTTGAAATAGACCAAAATTCAAAATTCTCAAGACTGCTGGGGTACAGGGTACTGCATAGTAAGGCGTTGCAGTATGCACTGAATTCCACAGTAGGGGTGCACCAGTGATACCACCGAGAAGTGGGGGGTTGGGGGAAGGGGTGGCCGTCTCAGTTCCGATCTCCCAGAAAAAGGGGAATCTTTCTGTTGTGATGGCATCGAGCCAGTCACACATCCGCATTTGTCATTCGATTGAATGGCAAGGGGATTCATCTGTTTCAACCCAAATGAATGGATTCTGTAGGCATGCCGAGGCTTACCTGCGCCTGGCCTTACTTCCACATCCTTGGAAGACATGGTAAAGATATTGAGTGCTCAGGCACACAGAGCAGAAGCTACACAGTCAAGGTGCTAGTCAAACCCACTAATTACAGATCTTGGTCTTGGGGTCAGGATTTACACTGAGACTTCCAGGAAGGCTTCGGTTTATTCGGGGCAGTAGGCATCACCATGGATGGAGATGGGGAGGAATAGTTGACAATGTATTTTATTTAAAAAAGTAGTGCTTCAGGTGTATGGTGCTTCAGGTATGGCACTGTGGCAGTGGTATGATGAGTGGCGGTGTCCCATGGTTTCCATACCGTGGCGATGGTGTGAGAGGTGGTATCTTAACCATAGTGACAGTATGAACATGGATGGTATTCCACAGTTTTCATACTGTGGTACAGTACTGAAAAGTGATGAAGGGGACAGTATGATTATCATGAGAACCAAATACCACGGTGTGATAAAAATACCAGTATACCGCAATGCCCTGCTGCACAGTGATTCAGACTCCATAATATTTACTATAATCCTTTGTTGGGACAAACCAAATGTAACACATTGATATCATTGTCACTGGGCTGCTGAGTGTAACTACTTTCCTGAGCTTTACATAAAATTTTGAATTTTGAAATAATTTGCTGAAGGTGAAGGTTAATATGGTTGTTTTTGGTAGTAATTACTGTGAATTCTGGCCACTCAGGTAATGGTTATGCTTTTCATATGGTCTGGGAATGAGGTTTATGTTGCATTATATAACCAGGGATTGAATTTTGAGGGAATGAGAGATAATGGATGTCCTTACTTGGGAGGAAGATGGAGGAGAAGAACAAGGTATTAGAGTGTGAGCATCATCTGCCACAGAGATCCAATGGAACCGTTCATGTTCAACATTCTTTACTTAGGTTCCAGCATAAATCAGTATATTTCATGTCAGACCAGCAGAAACCCATTTTGCAAGTCTTCCCTGATTGCATTAAAAGTGAACTATGTAGTGTAGTGACTACATGGAGAAGGAAATGAATGCTCCAGTGAAGCAGCTTGTTAGTGCTTGACCTTTTCCTGAACATTCATGGCAACCATCAATCTCAGGAAGGCATATGGGTGGGGTGAAGGTCTGGCCTCCCTCCCCCCCACTCCTTGAAACTATGTCCCTGAATACAACTATCTTTGTTAGACCCTGGAAACGTAGCTGCAGTTGTTACTTCCTTGGGCATGTCCTTTTTCCTAGCGGCTCTGCTCAGCGCTCCCATAGTTCGCTATGTTCTGCTGCCAGCTGCTTGCCCAAGAGTGACGTCATTCGATGACGCGGTCTTGCTTTGCCAACGCGTCTTTTTTGCTAGCAGCTGCTAGTGGCTGGAGAAAAAGATGTGCCCCTTCACTCCCAAAGTTGGCAGCACAGCAATATAAGCATTTTCCATTCATTGATCTCATCACACTTTCTCTTTTAGGTGTGTACTTCAGTTACCAATTCATCATGAAGTAGCACCTTATCAGACTGTCTCAAGAACATGGCTTAACAGATGGGTAGTTCTTGATGCTGATGAAGGATGGCTTTGGTGGTTCAGGTCCATAGCATGTACCATTAGTTGCAAAAGTGGACACCCATAGTCTCTTATATGCTCATCTTCCATATGATGGAGAGAGTGGAGACAAGTGAGGTCAACTGGTATAAAAAAAAAAAGCCTACTCTTCTGAACCTGATGAACTTCCACTGGCCTTGATGATGGGTAAGGAAGCCCAGGATCTCCTGAAAGCCTCTATACTGCAAATTCAAACCAAAATTAGGAAGTAGACATGGATGGACTCAGCTTGTATTGATAGGACTGTACAGAAGTTGATGGTGGAGACTGGTGCTCATACTGCAACCTCTGCACACTCTAAAGAGCAGGCCTATTATCCTTTCATAGTGTGTCTCAAAAGTATTTACCAAATTTGTTTACATAATTTTTTTCCCATTTTGCAGGACTAAAAATTGCAATATGTGTATGGATTGTAACTCTGCAGTGAAGCCTTTGAGCCACCATGTTGAGTACACGAGGGAGTGGAAATCATGGCATGGAGGATATAGAAAACCTTGTGACATTTACACATATCAAAGTGGCTTACACTGAATTGGGCCAACAAACACTATTTGAAGCCTTGGCTACAAATTTGAGAGAACAGGGAGTGTGAAGAATGAATCGTGGAGTTGCTGAGTGTCCACATCATGGAGCTCTGGATGCTGTAGGGGAGACCTTTAAATGCAGCCTAAAGAAGTCAATACATGCTGTGTCTCTGCAATTGGACACCCAAAGAACCACTGCTTCACCACTCATCACATTCTGATGTTTTCTGAAATAAAGCCTACTGGATACAAATTGTGCTCAGACAAACTAGAGAACCATTCTATGTTTGCAACAGTGTGTGATGAGTTGTTGGCCCCATGGAATCCGAAAAGTTCAACATGAGTGCAATTGTAATAGTAAGTATTTTCTGTCCTCTGTCATGACTTCAACTCCCTCTTGTGTACTCAAGACTGGCTCTATAAATGCTTCATTTGTAGGGATATAATTGTACAATAGTTGCTATTTTTTAGGTTCACAAAACAAAGATGTTCATAGCACAAGAATGGCTAGAGACTTTTGGGACACCATGCATTGTGACTATGGGGATACAAGTGAACATTCACAGGATTCATAAACTCTCTGGCTGCCTACATGTTTTATTTGCAATCCAGAATACATTTCTTTAGATGAGGTGCTACACAAAACCCCATTGTCTCTCATGAATTTAAGAAAATCCATATTCTAGCTCACAGAAATTACATGCAAGTTACTCATGGCAATCTACTACCACAGCAGGGCAGATGTTCTCAGGTCAGATCAGCCAAGGACACAGCTGAAGGATGAAAAAGGTTAAGTGCTAAATGCAGTTCTTGTGAAGAGAGGAACCTGGAATGACCAACCTGATCACATTGGGGATTGTGTGAAGGAGAAAGGAAAGAAAATGTGTCCTGCAGAATGTTCCTCCCAGAGAATTGTGATGCTTCTGGAGAACTTTGCAATTGCCTAAGACAACAACACTAGGGAGAATCTTGATGCTCTCATGATTAACATTTTCATTTATCATGTCATATCTTCATGAGCCTATGTTTGCAAAAATAATTGAAAAAATTTTGTCTGTCTCCTATTGCTGCCCATTAAGAGTGTTTAACAAGACACATATTACATATCTTGCAAGAGCATGGAGCATAACATGAAAGGAAGTGCAATGATTTCCCATTCTCTACTGCTATTTTCCTCTTCTGATTTTTACACTCGGCTGAAATATAAATGATAAATGTAATTGATCAATATTTTTGTCCAGGAGATGCCAGCAGGAGTGTCTTTCATTGAGACACATGAGGGTTGGCACCTAGCTGCTTTTACTTGCTCATGCTATTTTTTTGTTTTGCCCTTACTTTGGGCACCTGCATCAGTAGCTTGTAACCTGACTGATGGTGAAACACTGGCAGAACCTATGGTTGCTGTTACATCAGCACAGCCCTACTTGTATGGATCTTATAATTTCACCATATATGCTCTCATACATGTAAATATGTCAAAACATATGTCATTATATGAAAAATATATCACAAAAAACTGTGTACAACTTCCATATATATGATTTTCTATATGGGCAACTTGGTTGCTCTAAAATTACCAGACTTTGAAATCATTTACTTTGTACACCTAAAATTTGTGAAATGTTGAAAAGTGTTTGGCCATTGGTAGAATAGTTTTGTTGTGAAGTGGATTTTTAGAAGTCTTGCTTGTACTCTCACAGGGAAGACAGCCATTGCCATGGCCATGGCTCAGGCATTGGGTACAGATACCCCTTTTACAACATTGGCCGGTTCAGAGATCTTCAGTCTAGAAATGTCCAAGACAGAGGCACTCACACAAGCCTTCAGGAAGTCTATTGGAATCAGGATAAAGTGAGAATTCCAAGTTCTTGCCTCTCACTAATAACCACTTTTTTTCATCCCATATGCTATCGTTACTAGTTTCTTCTAATACCTGCAAAAGAGACTATAGACCAGATGTATTCAAAGTATGGTCCTTGGGTTGTATGCAGCCCAGTTTCTGTTTCCCTATGCAGATTGCAGCAAATAAACATTTGATATTCACGAAAGGAAATTAGAAAGGTCAAAATCAAATAATTTCACTTTTTTTTCAAGTGTAGTTAATCTATTCTTTGTATTATTCACTCTGAATTGAAACAAATCAACTTGGGCCTTGCATCTGAGTTGCATTATAAGGATGCTGTTGGGCTGAAGTGCCCCAAATATTGAAAAGTAGTACCCTAGTCATTCCTCTTTTCTTCTACCAAGTATTAACAATTGACTTGCACATTTAGCTTTGTATAACTGATTTTTTTATATGCAGCCCACTAAGTTGACTATGGCCCTTGTCCTAAGAGTTTGGAGACATTTAATCTTTTGAAAATTAAAAATCTTTGGTGCTGTTACGTCTGTTTTCCATAGTTTGACTATTTCAAGGGCAAAAGCTTAGCCTACATTTCAGATTTAAAGGTTAGAAAAGTGAATCTTGCTTATGTTTTATTAATTTTATTGCTGCCCTAATTTTTAATTTATTTAAATATTTTATTTAAAATATTTTGGTTTATTTGATTTCCTGATATTTAGTTTAAGTTAGGAGTCCTGAATTGGGATTGGATGAGGGGGCCTTCCTTCCTTCCTGTGTTTTTCACTTGAATATCAATTGACATACTGTCAGGTGAAGATTATTTTGTTTTAAGTTTAGATTTAAGGTTTTTAGCCATTTCATGCCATTTAATATCACCCACAAAATTACTTTCTTGACATCACATTGCACATTAAGTTAGGAATCTGTAGGGTAAAAGACCCAGTGATAGACCGGTCCCCAGTGATGGGCCACAGCACATAAAAATTCCAATAGCTAAGCTTCCATAGCATGCCTACGCATATTATGACATAGGTTAGCAGCATAGTTCGTGTATCTGTGAAGTCTCCACCATTACCTTGTTTACGGTTTTAAAACCTTAAAAGGTGCGAAGTGGCCCATCACTGAGTACCCGCCATTAACAGGCCCATCACTGGGTCTTTTACCCTATATATTGTATGCAACTCTGCAAACTTAAAATATTTTTGCTTTATTGCAGCAAATTCCAATGAAGTTTGGTGTCCTGAGATTTCATTTTTGGACATGGGACAAAGTAATCCACATCCAACTCTTTGTTGGGTTTCTCAGTTTATTTAAAACTAAGGTTCATTTTGATGTATTTCATATTGTTTGATATGTGGGCCTTAAATTTGAAGAAGTCTCCAACCTGAGTAAAGGATGTGATTGAGTGCCACCTCTAGTGCTCAGCTGAGAATTTTTTATTTTCATTTTAAATATCTTATCTGAATTCTCTGGAAAAGTGGCATAAGTGACCATGTACCCTTTTTTTTTTTTATATCCTTGCTCATGTCCTGATGTGTTGCTTCAGAATACTCACTGTAGAGTAGAGTGATATTGAGGTGTTTCACATGTGTTTGTATCAAAGGAGAAGTCTCCCTAGATGACTGGCATCTGTCTTGCTGTCATTTAAGGTCACTTGCAGAGTGGAATGGGCTTGTAATCCAAGCATTTGGAAATATGCCTGGAAGAAAATATAATGGAACAGTCATGATGCCAGTGTGGTGGTGATTAGGACTCATGAAAGCTTTTCTGAATGCTCATGTTTTCCTAAAAGTCTCTTTGAGAAAGGGTTTTCTAAAGCCTGGAGAGTAATTTACAGGCAAACTGTTATTATTTATAATGAAAAATGACAACTAAAAAAATGGCTGGAAAAGTTTTGAAGGTGTAGATATGGAAAAGGAGCATATGTGCATTTTTGCTTGCATTATGGCACTTGTGAGGAAAAACTTTATTTTAAGTCCAAAGTTGAATCAAGAAGAAACCTACAATATGAAAGTTTCTGGATGCAGACTACAGAAAACAGTTTGGCTGTATTCATTACACTTTTTCAATGGAGTCTCCCTGAGCATCAATGCACTTTTTCATCTTTTGAAACATTTCCCTAAGCAGTTTTTCCACTCAAATGTTGGTATACCAGAGATCATTGAAATATATTCAGCAACTGCCTCTCCTGAAGACTGAAAACACTTTCCAATGAACAAATCTTTAACTCTTGGAATGAGAAAGAAGTCACATGGGGCCAGGTCTTGACTGTAGTGTGGGTGTGGGAGCACCCTAATGCCAGACTCAAGCAGGAAATATGTGAGGGCAGCTGTGACAGGATGTGTTGTCATGAGGATAATCCATAATTTCAATTATGACTTTGACTTGCCCCTGATTATTCATAGATACAAACATCTTTACTGGGAAGCAAGATTCAGTGTACCATTTTGAGGCCATTCTTTTGACCTTGAAGAGGTATTGTGGCCATGTGACCAGTGAAAGAGAAGAAATTAGCCACCTTTCCACACTTTTGGGCTGCTTGACCTTGGCTGAGGTTGGGTTGTATGGGAAGAGCCAGATGTTGGATTGGTTATTTGTTTCTGAGTCAAAATGAAATATCCAGGTTTCATTTCCTATGATGATGTCAAAGACAACTTTTGAAGAACCAGAACTGAGTTTCTAGAGCATGAATTCACCAATTCCATCCTGGCCTCCTTTTGACTTGGGCTGAGATTGTGAGGGATCCATAAGCTAATGATCCTCCTCAGACGAAGTTGTCTGTACAGGATTTCATTCATTACAGCTGACCCAACCCCAAGTTGTACCTGAATGTCTCCATATGTAATTTGATTGTCCTCTTCAATTTTTTCCATGCAATGGCCACATTGTCATCTGTCACTGCAGTTGGTGGCTGGCTACAGCAAGGCCCATCCTTCAAGGACACCCTTTCCTTCCTAAACTCTGCAAACCACTCAAACACTGTACTGCAAGATGTTGGTTTGTCTCTAAAGGCCTATTGTAGGTGTTTGAGACTCTCATTTGCACCGAGTCCACTCTTGAAGCAATAGAAAGTCATTGCTCAGAAGAGTTCTTGTGGCAAATTCCATTTTGAATCCTTGAACATGAAAGTATAAATAATTATAAAACCAGTTCAAGGCAGTGATGAACTCTGAAAGTTTTTTTAGTAGACTTTTACTGATTTCTTCACTGAGAGAAAAATTCTCTCCCTGAGAGGAGGCATAAGAAGGCCAAGGCCACATCCAGAAACTCTCAGAGTGACCCTTGTACCATATCACTGAAACTGGATTCAGATCAGTTGCAGATGAGCTCTAAAAAGATTTTGCCACTTATCTTGAATTGTGTCAAAAGACAAGCTCTTTTTCACGAGAACTCCTTGATTCCATTTTTCCTGTTGGGGGGGGGGGGGACATTCTTGACATTCTTGACATCATGATTAACTGAAGAACTAATCTACCTTTGAAACCCTGAGTCCAAGTAATATTGTGTTTTTATCAAGTATTGATGGAAGGGAAAGTATCTCGTGAATCATTGTGGTTTGCTATGGTCTCAAGAAATTTCCCCTTTTCCCAATTTGTACAGATATATGTGTTCTTTGTAGTGCATGTTCATTTGGAAATATAGGAATTCCTATATGAAACAGGGAGGAGACAGAAATCATTGAGGGAGAGGTTGTGGAGATTCAGATTGATCGACCAGCAACAGGAACGGGAGCTAAAGTTGGGAAACTGATTATGAAAACCACTGAGATGGAAACTATATATGATTTGGGCAATAAGATGATTGAATCCCTTACTAAAGAGAAAGTGAGTTCATTTTTACCCATTATTTTTCCATCCATTCCCGTTATTTCTCTTCCTGTGGGTGATGAGGGAAATCATACCCTTGTATTTTATGCATAGATCCAAGCAGGAGATATAATCACAATTGACAAGGCCACTGGGAAGATAACAAAGTTAGGTCGTTCATTCACAAGAGCCCGGGATTATGATGCCAGTGGACCTGAAACGCGTTTCATCCAGTGTCCTGAAGGAGAGCTTCAAAAGCGTAAAGAGGTCATTCACACTGTCAGTTTGCATGAAATTGATGTAATCAATTCCCGAACTCAGGGCTTCCTCGCTCTTTTCTCAGGTGAACTAATAACTTGATTCCTCATTCTGAGAGTCTTAGTCATGTCTATGTATAGATGTGCTTCCTTGCATTTATTCAGGCGATACAGGAGAGATAAAATCAGAAGTGAGAGAACAGATCAATGCTAAAGTTTCTGAATGGAGGGAAGAAGGGAAAGCTGATATCATCCCTGGTGTACTCTTCATTGATGAAGTGCGTATATCTCACATTTCCTGAATTAGAGACCTATTTCCATTTTGCTTTCTGCTGTGATGGGACATTTTCATGCCATGTTATTGCATTTCCAGGTTCACATGCTTGACATTGAGTGCTTCTCATTTCTGAATCGTGCTTTGGAGAATGAATTGGCACCTGTGGTCATCATGGCTACTAATAGAGGGATCACTCGAATTCGAGGCACACATTACTCCTCTCCTCATGGCATTCCTTTGGATCTACTTGATCGTACAATCATTATCTCTACTTCCCCCTATGATGAAAGGGACATCAGAGATATCTTAAAGATCAGGTTGGTATGGATCCTCATTTGGTATGTGTTTATGAACTATTTTCTATAAAATTTTGGGAATGGACTAATGGAACTTTTTTCTGTTGTGCCCAAGGTGTGAAGAAGAAGACTGTGAGATATCTGATGATGGGTTATTGATTCTGACTCGAATTGGAATGGAGGCTTCTCTTCGGTATGCCATTCAGCTGATCAGCCTAGCATATCTTGTTGCCACACGGCGAAAGGTTGGTTTTGGTCTTCTCTCACTTCCTTAGCACCTGATGACTATGGTGCAATATGAATATATATTGTATTTACATGCACTTGTATATGATTACAGGGGACTGAGATCACTGTAGAGGATATCAAGAAGGTCTACACCCTGTTTTTGGATGAAGTGCGTTCCACTGCATTCCTTAAGGAATATCAAGACCAGTTCATGTTCCATGAAAATCCTGAACAGAGTAAGTTTCCTTTATTTACCTATATCATCTACTCCATCTCAATGCCATTAACCCATTTGCATTGACTAATGAGATATTCTCATAATCTGAATAACAGTGATTTAAAATTAAAAAGTCATATTTCCCCTATGTTCACAGTTTTTGTGAATCATGGTCTCTAGAAAGCAGCGATTTCTGGAATTAATTTCCTAAATATGGTACCTAAGCAATTGAATAATGTCAATGCTGATTGACTAATGCAGTTTAATATACTTTACCAAAAAGAACCAGAGCAGTGGGGTATCTACAGTTGGGAAAGAGAAAATCACCCAGGATCCTGAGCCCCATTCTGGTAGAGCTACACATGGACTTCCTCTCAAGCCCCATTTATGGCATAGTTGCAAATGTCCTTCCTTCTCTGATTTTATTTGTGTCATAGCAAGAAGGGGCATGTGACAAGGTCATAGTGAATGTGCAAGACAGGAGCCAAGAAGGACCAGACTGCCTTGGGGCTCAAGGTTTCTGTTAAATGCCTTCTCCTTGCATGACTAGCACTGCTCAGGTTTTTTTTTGGAAAGGTATATTATGCTGAAGGGCAAGTCCAAACAGGCCTTGAGACAAGTGAACAATTGAGACCTGATTAGGGAGCAGATTTTTATGCAAATGCATATTTTTGCTGTAGCCTCCTAGGAGCATACAACCCAGATAGGGTCATGTCTTATTGGTAGAGAAAGCAATTTTTGCAATTTTTAAAATGCATAAAGATGCATATTTTTGTATATTTCACAAATTTTTATGAAAAAAATAAGAGTTTTCCAGGAAAATGTTTATTTATGAGCAACCAGTGAAAATTTTCCAGTGGTTATGCACTGGTTGGAGTGGTAAAGCCACCAAAACTGCTCTAAATCCATCCACTACCACCATCCCTCTTGAGAAGTTAAGGAAATTCTAGTCCCCGTTCATTTCCCTTATGTTATTAGTGGTGGATTCCTGGCTTCGCCACTGACTGCGACAAGAATAGACCAACTATACACAGTAGAGGCATGTGATGTGCATTGAAGTTCCTTCTTCCAAAAAATTAATACTGCACTAAGAAAAAATGATGTTTTTTGCATATTTTGGCATTTTTAAGTGCATAAATATGTGCATATTTTAGGACTTAGCACATAAAAATCCACTCTGTAGTCATGATATATTTCCCTTTCTCCTGTTTCATCTTGGCAGTTGAGGAAAATTGCTCATCACCAGGTTCCATGGTGAAGTAATCTTTATCTTCTGCTATTACATGGATCATATATGTAACCTTTATTTTCAATATGTGCTTTGCGTGATCAGACGTGAAGGACTAGAGGTCCTGAGGACTGTCTGAATATGGTGATCATCTGGCCATGGAAAATAGGGATGCATCTATACCAATATCAGATTTCAGAATTTGGCAGATCAATGAAGATTGGTATCTACTTATAGCTACATACCTGATTCACCAATCTGCCTTTATGGATCTAGTCAGAGCATGTTGCTCTGTTTTATGTGTTTTCATTTATCCACAAAAATCCTGAACGCCCATTTTCTCTCCCCGTTATCATTTTATAATTTAGGGAGCCTCATTTCATAGGGGGTGCAATTTATCAATAAACTTTTAAAAGGACGAGTTAGCAAATTTAAATTATTTAAGGATGGCAAGAATTCATTTTAAATGCACAATGCACGCATGCATCATCTTCCAGGGCTCACCCAAATATGGGATAATAAAAAAAGGTGCCATTGAAAAACTCTTAAAATCCCAACCTATTGAAAATACAGTGAAAAATTCTGTGTAAAACCGAATCAGAATTCTTGACTTTTGCCAATCTTGGTTAGTGCTGTTCAATTCTTTGAGCCCTTGTTTAGTCATAGGGACCATTAACCGCTCCAGATTGTTGCAAATATGAGACAAAACTATTGTATTTGTTTAGATGAATTCAGTACTTCATTAGAGTATCTTTCAGTACTGCCAGTGTTACCTATGTCTCGTAAACTGAAACTGAAAGCAAGGCCATGGGTGCCTCACTCATTGAAATTCATTGACAGTTTTCAGTGACTTTTACTAGGAATGATTGAATCTATATAATAATAGCCAACATTTGCCCCTCTCTTTCTGTCTGTCCGCTATAGGCTTGCATGGATCGATTTTTCCGAGTCCGAACCGACCGCCCCGATTCGAATCATGGCCCACATCCGACCTTAAACTCGATCGTCGACCGAAGTTTACGAGCCTTTCTCGCGGATCGGGTCGGGCCCGCAACCTGCTTAGGCCTCTAAGCTTCAGAAAATCCCTTATTCTTCACCCAATACCCGTGCGTCCGAAATTCGAAGGAAGTGTCACATTTGAATGCTACGGGGCGGAACTCAATCAAAATTTGCATGCAGGCAATTGGGGTTCCTCGATAACGGAACGCATCTCCTATTATTGATCCAAAGCGTGCCTGTTTGAAATTCGAATGCTGTGCCTCTTTAGGATGTTATGTAACTCACTGAAAATTGTAACCGAGGGAGACTAGGGATCTCATGACGGGATCCCCCTTCCCTATTTTATCCCTGGGGGTTTCAAATTTATATGGTGTGTCTCGTTTGAATCTTAGGGGACGGAATTCCCTGAAACTTGGTATATAGGAGGGGGGGAGGGGCGGTGCACCTTTATTATTGATATGAAACATGGCAGGGCAAAATTTATCCAGTATATATGATGGCCAAGGTAGCTGCTACTTGAGAAGTTAACCCTTTCAGACCTGAATTAAGGTTACAATTGGAATAATACATATTTTTTCATTTTTGAGCTCTTTCGCTATTGTAATTTAAATGTTTTTTTTATTATATCGTTTTTATATCTTGTATAAATTTACCATACCGTACCATATATAATGTAATGTAATATATATTTAATTACATAATTGAAGATTACAAAACTGATGGGTGAAAGAAGGCCTCCGATAGAATTGAGCCATGCATAATTACGCCCATTGTAGTGTAATATGGGGCGCAGTCACGAGAATCTCAAGAAATTACCTTAGACGCAATGAAAATGCAATGTCCATTGGAATGGACGCCAGGTCTGAAAGGGTTAAAATAATCAATTCCCAGATCATCAAGAAAGTACTGGACTTCTATCGTAAAATTTAATGGACTCTGAGACTTTTGGAGTGGAGAAAGTGCACCAATTTTGGAGTTCCTGACTGAGCGCCCTCTTGACATTAGTCAAGAGGGCGAGAATTTTCTGGGAAGAGGCTTCATGTTTGTGAAACTATTACCATAATGCAGAGTAGTACCTGCAACGGAAGCTGCATGGCAATGCGATTTACCAGAATATTGCGTAAAGATAGCGATTTCTCGAGTGAGAACTGTACTCTGTATGTAGTCTTTGTTCATAGTGATTAAGGATTTGGTTTGACGTTTTTATAGTGAAACGATAAAAGCCTTTTTTTTATTGAAAAAATCCAGCTAAAAATAGTATGCGAATTCGAAATGTAAGAAAAGAAAGGTATTTAACCCCTTAACTAGGAAGTATTCACCAAATGTATGGGAGGTCAATGGAAGGGAAATCTAACCCAGTTAAGGGGTTAAGAGAAATTGACATTGAACCCGATTGTCTCGGTTTGGCCCTTTGATAAGAAATCCACGTTGACAAAACCTTTTTCCTGGTTTTTTTTTGTTTACTTTTTCTTGGCTGCTTCGTTGCATATATATTTGAAAACTTTCCCTCGTAGGTTATAGTTGCATAGGTGCGCCTTTCTAGAACGAGCTCGATTTAGGAATGGCTTTCCTCATATCCAAGATTCCTTGCATCCGAAAATGTGGAGCGAAAAAAATGTAATACCAAGTGATTGCAAAGATATATCTTCGCCATCACGGCAGACATTGACTTTGACACTGGAGGTTCTGTAGAAAATTAAAATCAGAAGGGAGAAGATTGGAGTTTGAAGTGGTTAAAAGAGACCTAAAGGGGAAGAAGTGATTCGTTTTTAATGACTAAGGCACCCTCAGAAGAGGTAGGTGAAGGTTCATTAGAGCGGAAATTGTTACAATCTGAGATAAACGCCTTGAGAGTCGAAAGGAATCCAACTGAAGAGTCCAATTTTTTTAGTCGTACTTAACCCTTATAATCCCAAGGTTCCGATATATCCGCTCTTCATAATGGGATACGATTCTGCTTGGGAGCGAAAGGGTTAACATTCCGTGTCACTCGCGGGTATACCCGCCATTTCATGCGGTCCTATATCGTCATGACTGGTAGAGCCGTCATAAAAAAGACCAATTGCAGTCATGACGGCCGTAGCCGCGCGGTTTAGCTGGGTTTCCCATATGTGGGGAAGACATTGACAATTAGGAAGGAAGTTTTTTCCGTGGCGCAGCAGTAGGGAACTAAAAATTAAAACTAAAAACTATTGAAAAAAATAATGTTCGATGCGTTTCTTGTTTGACATTCCATGATTCTACCCATGCGGATATGCCCGAATCGACATATATTAGTACAGAGTGATCCAAAACTGTCACCCGCGACGTTGTTACAGGTCAACGGCACATGCTAGGTAGAATATGTAGAATATTTTCAATGCCACTGCGAGTATATAGTATATAGTATGCGACCTACAAGAGAATCTCGCAAAAAAAAAGCTGACATGTTTTGGTTGATCAACATTTTTCGGTGACACGGGATGTGTTAAAACCGAGCTTGTTCTAAGTAGATTCCGCTATACCTTCGCCTAAATCAGGATGCTCAAACTTTTTGGTCATTGAGGCCGCAGAATCAAAAACTTGTGCAGTCCAGGTCGACTCTCGTTAGTATGCAGCCGCTTAACACGGACCTCCCTTTGGTACGTACAACAAATGTGTGACCCCGCTTTCCCATCATTACTGTAAAATGGCTTTTAGTTCCAGTTTGTACGTATTCGCTTTGTACGGACCTTCGGTTAATACGTACAACTTGATGGTTGATGGTTCTCCGTTCAAATTTGACCCCGTTAGTACGTACTTCAGGTCATAAATCATAGCATATGTACAGTATTCTCAGCGTCAGTCACATACTGTCCTCCTTCCCGATTATGGTGCC